ATTATCCGGAAGATTCCTCGGATCAATACCCACGGATATCTCGCAATCCACATCCCTTTCTCCTCATCATACCTCAGCCTTCTTGATCAGCTTCAGTTCTTGTTCCTCTCGGAAACTGAAGTTGTGCCCCGGCATAGGCAATGGCCGCACTTACACCCCCCGCAGCGCGGCATGATCTCCGTGCCCAGCGACTCCCCCTGAAGAATGCATCCGCGGTCTGGGTCGCCCCGCTCTGTTAACACCTTGTGACATGACGCAACCGTGTCATCACCGAGATCCCGGACCCCCATCCCCACAATCCCTAGGCTCCAGTTCAGGGTGCGTTATCCCGGTCATGATGAACTGTGACGAGCACGCTCTACATCGGCCATTCCCCGTGCCGGTCAGTACCTTCATGCAGCAGTGGGTGACTGCCCCTAGGCACACCCCAAACCGATTCTGCATAATATCAGGTGCCTACCATCGGACAGTTCTGGAGTCGGCTGCCACCCGGCCTTCTCATTCGCAATGAGAAGATCCACTGCCCCTACCGGCCGACGTAGCTTTTCCAGCAGACCTCGCTGGACCCGGGAAATACTCTCCGTAGAATTCCCTCGTCCAATGGCGCAATATCTCCAGTGATTCTCTCTCACTCCGTAAGCATACACTTTGTGCGTCATTCCTGCAAATCCCGAATCGATACCTCATACAGTCTCGTCTGGTGCGTTTCTCTCACATTCCGCAGTGTAGTCACTTCCACCGTGTGCTCCGTGCTACGATAGTGGTTGGCCTTAGCACACCGCGTGAGTGATAAAATGCCCCGTGGACCCCGTATCCCACAGAACACTCACTCGCCTACCTCCTTGTTACCAGGCACTGACATCATGTGCAGTAGCGTGTTCCGATCCGTTCCCAGGCCGGCCACGTTTGATGACGCTCGCGTGGTTCGGCACCTGCACCCCCTGCGCCACACACCTCTGGCACCACTAGCCCACCGGCTCTAGCGTCACCTCGGCACTCTAGCATTGCGGGCGCCTGTCCCACTCCCGGCCCTCGCCGTACCCGGCGCCACCCACATTCCCTGTGCGCCGGCGCCACCACATGCTGTTGCCCCGAATTCGGCGCCACCGACCCGAAGCCGCGCCCGGCTCTGGGTACGTCCACATACACCATTTGACTGCTCACCGGGGCAGCGCTCACCCTGCCACGCTCTGCATGCACAACATTGTGTTGTGCCGGGTCCCACCACACTTCATGCACTTCCGTTCTCTAAACTACACCTGTTAGCAACGTGACCGCTCCCAAGGCACTTGAAACAAGCCCCACTTCTCTCAACCATCATACGTCTCTCTTCTACAGCAGCAGAAACGAAATTTCCACCGACAGTTCTGTGAGGACCACCACAGGCGGCACAATGCAGCCCTGCACCTAGCTGCTGGCCGACCGCCATCACCGCCCCCCACGCTGACCCCTGGCGCGGCAATCACGCTTGATGTGCTCGGTAGACCCACACGAGAAACACTGCCAGTCCTTCGGGATACTCCGCCCGTTAATGCCAGGCCCCGTCCCCTGCATGTGCGCCGTCACACCCTGGTGCCGCACAGACGACATCAAGTATTCGTACTTCGTTCTCTTTCCGCAGAAACTCGACAAAATGCGGGTAGGGTTTCTCCTGGTCCTCCGCACTTTCTCCAGTATGTGACGAGCCCAATCCTCCCTGCCGACTCCGGGAGCTTTTCTCGATTTCACCCATCGAGTGCACGTGCTAATCTCGTCACGCATTCCCGGCGCTCCAGACTCGCATCCGCTTTCAAACCACATCAACGAATTCGATAAACGCCTTGTGGTCCCAGCAGCCACAAGTTTGCATGCCTTTATTCTCCCAGTATCGCCTCAGTAGCCTTTTCTTGTTGCGTACTTATCACCAATACTTTGATCATTTGATCATAGTCATGACTGTAGGCTTCTACCGCCTTGGCAGCCTCCCCCTCAGATGCGTGCGCAAGGCATGACTCAGATATTTTCGCGGCCACTGAGCCTCTGCGATCTCCCTCCACGTTCTGATGAACACAGGCCATTCCGTTAAACCGTCCTTCCCCCGCCGAACGTCGGCAGCTGGAGGCTTCAATCTTTACGTTACCACCCTCAGGGGCCCTGTTTCCGGTTCGGCTCCGCCCGCCATTAGCAGCTCTCCCTTCATGACGATCCCCGTTTCCCATGAAGATCGCCACCTTGCCATGCAGCTCCGCATCTTCTCCCGTGCGGCAGCACCTGCTGATCCTCTTCCACCAGAGGTCGATCAGTAAGTGAGCAGAGTTCGCCGAAGAACAACTGCAGTCTGTCCATATCCTCGTTAACTAAAGTACGACAGGATGGTCTCCGTGTTCAGCTGATTGTCAGGTTGCCCGCATTGGCTCTGAAGGCCTGCAGTTCCCTTGCAGTTTCCCCTTCACCGATATCATCAATGCTCCAACCTCAATCCCCCGTGAGCTTCCTCCACTTGTCCTCGCCGTTCCTCTGCCGCCCGCTTGACCTCCGCAAGCTTCTTCCTTACGCCGCGGATGTTGGTCGCAGGTCAGCCCAGGCTTCAGTTGCGGGTCCTCCGCTCCCTCCACCCCTGGCGGAGGCCTCATTGATACTCCAAGGCTTCATCATCATCAATGCTCGTCGCAGATATACTGCAGATCTATCGGAAGGTAATCATCTTCCACCACTTCTCGAAGCGGACTATCTTTCTCCGGAGCTTGCCCCTCCACTTCTCCATCTCCCTTAGCTGCTTTTGACATGACGACACACTCTTTTACTGCCACGGTCAAAAATGTTGAAATGTGACGCCTTAGCAGGGGAAAAAATACACGGGGGCGGCGGGCGATTTCGCCCCCGAAATGCGCAAAAAGACGGTCCCCGATAAATTACGATATCGGGGCGACCCCAAAAGCAAAAGCGCCTGGAAATCGATTGTCCAGGTCGGGTTCCGCGCCTTGCCGACTCGCTCGCCTCTGCCGCTAGCGGCAGCCGGTTCCACGGGCCGCGGTAGAATTCCTGGTACGTGTGGCTGTCAGTGTTTTCATTAAGCCATTGCATGTGTTGTATTTGCTTCAATCAAGCGGGCGCCGCGCCGTGCGACGTATTTACGTGGTTGTGCCTGTGGCGTGGCTTCGGTGTCTGCCTGCGCGCGTGCGTGCGTGCCGGTTGTGCCTGCTAGGCGTGCCTTTGCGGTGTGTGCCTAGGCGCGCGTGCGGTGCGCTGCGCCGCGTGCGTGCTGCGCGTGAACGACTGTGCGTGCTGCGGGGTGCTGTGTGTCGCCGGTGTGCTGCGGCGTGCTTGCGTAGTGTGCTGCGCGCGTGCGTGCGTGCCTGCGCGCGTTGCGTGCCTGCGATGCGGCGTGCGTGTGTGCGGGCTTGCCTGCGGCGCAGTGGCCTACGTTAGACCCGTAGGATTTATAGACACGTTAATCACGGAATCCTATGAAATTCATCAGTATAATTTTTCCTGCGCAACACCTCGTGTGTCATTCCGATTGTAGCTTTTTTTGTCAATTCCCCCGAAAGAGTTTGCTGCCCGCTCTCTCATTTAGTCCAGCATTGCATTTAAGATAAGATGATTCAGTACCACGCGTGAAACAATCGTGCCCCCCCCATACTTCAATCAATGCGCCCCTGCAGCAGGCACGTACGCAGCGTCGATGTGCACACATTCACACGTGCCTCGCGGGCCCGCCTTTCTCAAACCCCTCTGAGCTTCCAGGCCCTACGCGGGCTTGACCCCAGCCGCAGGAGACTTGCGGTATAAACAATCGATTCTCCTAGAACTCGTACAGAGCGGAATTCCACTATTTGGGCTAGCCGTATAGTTCTGTGGTTTAGCTGAAACGACCAGCATTGTCATCGGTTCCTGTGGAGGGTCTGTGATGAGTCGGCAGAACCGAGCGTGTATGCTATCACGGCGGTCAACATGGGGGACAAGCCTGCAGGCACGATCGCAACAGAGGCATTGTATGCGACGGCGGAAAGGTGCAGGGATAGTTATCCGGAGGCCGCAGACATGATACGTGACTCCACGTACATGGACGACCTGATTGATTCGTGTGAGGGGGCATCGAGAGGCATAAAGTTAGCGGAAGATGTGTCGACGGTCATGGGAACAGGCAACTTCCGGATTAAAGGCTGGAGGTTTACCGGCGGAAACGGAACTGGGTCGTCGGTGCCATTACTTCCGTCCGGTGGCGACTCGGTGCGGGTGTTGGGTATGTTGTGGGACAATGTGGCGGACGAGTTTCACTACCGGGTGAAGATCAATTTCTCGAAGAAGAAAAAGGGCGTGAGAATGGAGCCGGACGTCCGGTGCCAGGATCTGGGGGCGTCGTTGCCGGCAACGCTCACGCGCCGGCTCGTGTTGGAGCAGGTCATGGGTATATTTGATCCGTACGGTTTTCTTGTGCCTTTTACGATGAAGGCGAAGTTTCTGCTCCGCGAGACGTGGATTTGGCGGCTGGGTTGGGATGACCCGCTGCCGGAGGTGCTGCGGCAGAAATGGGAAGAATTTTTTAGTGGGATGTACGGGATTGAGGAACTGGCCATAAGTCGATGTGTGAAGCCACGAGGCGCTGTGGGGGCCCCGATAATGATCACGTTCTCAGATGGCAGTGAGAAGGGGTATGGTGCTGCTGCGTATCTGCGTTGGGATTTGGAAGGAGGGGGAGCAAAAAGCTCACTTGTTTTGGCCAAGGGGAGAGTTGCGCCGGTAAAACGGATTACCGTGCCACGGCTTGAGTTGAATGGTGCGGTTGTTGCAAAGAGAATCCGGAGATTCTAGGTGACTGAGATGAGGATCGAATGTCGGGAGATCATACAGCTGGTTGATTCGCAGACGGTGTTGGGAATGCTCAACAAAACGTCGCAAAGATTTTCGCCGTACATGGGTAGGAGGGTCGGCGAGATTCAGGCGGCGTCCAAGGTCGGTGAAAATGGACAGTTGATTGAGTGGGCATGGATAGAGGGAAAATTGAACATCGCTGATTGGATCACCCGGGGGAAGGAGCCGGATCAGCTGGCGGGAAGCGGGGAGTGGGTAAATGGGCCGGAATTTCTGTCTCAACCGGTGAACACGTGGCCTATCAGTCGCTGCTCGCCACGTGACTTACCCAAGGAGGCGGAGGAGAGGGTCTCAGTCATGATGACGTCGGTTGCGGGAAAAACTGGCGCACCACGGCAAAACGCCAACGGTGTACCGACTCGTGATGAGCTGGAAAAGGCGCGAGTCTACTGGATCAGGCAGTGCCAGCTGGACATCAAAGATGAACTAGAGGCGTCTGTGCAGCCTGGGTCCGGCGGGCGCTACCGTCGTCTTGGCCCGGTGTTGGACCAGTGGGGTATGTGGGTGGTGGGTGAGCGAGTGAAGCATCACGTTGAGTTCACATCGTCCAAAGAACTGCCGCCCATACTGCCAAGTCGACACAGATTCTCGGTGCTGGCAATGGAGGAGGCACATGGCGCCGGACACGGCGGCGTCACCACCACACTGGCGAAGTTCCGGCGACGCTATTGGATAACGCAGGGAGGAAAATTGGCGAAGAATGTGCGCGGACGGTGCGTCGTCTGTAGGAAGACAGACAAGCGGCACGTGCAGCAGGTGATGGGCCCACTACCCGAGGGGTTACTAAAGCCGGCGCCAGTGTGGGCTCACATGGGTCTGGACTTATTCGGACCGTTCCGCATTCGGGGGACAGTGAATAAGCGCACGACTGGTAAGGCCTATGGGGTTTTGTTTGTGTGCTTGCTCTCTAAGGCCGTGCATTTGGAGCTGATTGACGGATACTCAACGTCAAGTTTTTTGATGGGCCTGAGGAGGTTTGCTGCAGTGAGAGGGTGGCCGCAGGTGATATACAGTGACGGTGGCACACAACTGACTAGTGCGGCTGCAGAAATCGAGCAAGTGTGGGAGAAGCTTGACGCGGTCGAGTTGGAGGAGATTGGGGGCAAAAATGGATTCTCGTGGAGGTTTGGTCCTGGTGATTCACCGTGGAGGCAAGGGACCGCCGAGCGTTTGATTGGGTGGGTGAAGCGCACAATCACGCTGGCGGTGGGAGATACCCGTCTCAACTTCTCCGAGCTACTGACTGTATTTTATGAGGCAATGCAGTTGGTGAATCAGCGGCCGGTGGGAGTGAAGCCGCGAGATGACGGGGAACATGAGTTTCTCTGTCCGAACGATCTGTTGCTCGGGAGAGCATCAGCGCAGACCCCGCCCGGACCGTACAGCGTGCAGGGTGCAGCACAGGATAGGCTACGCTTAGTACAGCGTACGGTGGACTCGTTCTGGTCTCGCTGGGCGAAGGAGGTGGCGCCGAACCTGCTAGTCAGGAGGAAGTGGCACCACGCGCAGCGAGACGTCAAGGTCGGCGACCTCGTGCTAGTGGCCGACGCGAATGCGGTGCGTGGGAGTTATCACATGGCCGTGGTGAGTGGCGTCACCAAGGGCTCGGACGGTCGGGTTCGTACTTGTGCGGTGGCCTACAAGAACTTTCCGGCATCGGAGAAGCTGGATGCGTATGGTGGTGCGAAGTACACGGCCGTCAGGCGAGCGGTGCAGCGGCTCGTGGTTGTGTTGCCCGTAGACGAACAAGGTGCTGATACCGGGTTCGGGTACGAGCCGGACGTTGAGTGAGTGTGACACTCTCGATCCGTACCGCGCTTTCGAGGTCGTGGAGGTGTGTTGTGTTCTTATGTGCGTGTGACGCGGCACGGATCGGGCCGGGGAACGTTTGCGGTTACCACCGATAGGTGGCACGGATTGGGCCGGGGAAAGTTTGCGGTTGTCACGGATAGGGGTCACCGCAACTGAAGCCTGGGTGGCTGACCTGCGGACCAACATCCGCGGCGTAAGGAAGAAGCTTGCGGAGGTCAAGCGGGCGGCAGAGGAACGGCGAGGACAAGTGGAGGAAGCTCAGCGGGGGATTGAGGTTGGGGCATTGGTGATATCGGTGAAGGGGAAACTGCAGAGGGAACTGCAGGCCTTCAGAGCCAATGCGGGCAACCTCGACAATCAGCTGAACACGGAGACCTCTGTGACTTAGTTAACGAGGATATGGACAGACTGCAGTTGTTCTTCGGCGAACTCTGCTCACTTACTGATCGACCTCTGGTGGAAGAGGATCAGCAGGTGGCTGCCGCACGGGAGAAGATGCGGGAGCTGCATGGCAAGGTGGCGATCTTCATGGGAAAACGGGGATCGTCAATGAAGGGAGAGCTGCCTAATGGCGGGGGCGGAGCCCGAACCGGAAACAGGGCCCCTGAGGGTGGTAACGTAAAGATTGAAGCCCTCCAGCTGCCGACGTTCGGCGGGGGGAAGGACGGTTTAACGGAATGGCCTGTGTTCATCAGAACGTGGAGGGAGATCGCAGAGGCTCAGTGGCCGCGAAAATATCTGAGTCATGCCTTGCGCACGCATCTGAGGGGGGAGGCTGCCAAGGCGGTAGAAGCCTACAGTCATGACTATGATCAAATGATCAAAGTACTTGGTGATAAGTACGGCAACAAGAAAAAGGCTACTGAGGCGATACTGGGAGAAATAAAGGCATGCAAACTTGTGGCTGCTGGGAACCACAAGGCGTTTATCGAATTCGTTGATGTGGTTATGAAAGCGGATGCGAGTCTGGAGGCGCTGGGAATGCGTGACGAGATTAGCACGTGCACCTCGATGGGTGAAATCGAGAAAAAGCTCCCGGAGTCGGCAAGGGAGGATTGGGCTCGTCACATACTGGAGAAAAGTGCGGAGGACCAGGAGAAACCCTACCCGCATTTTGTCGAGTTTCTGCGGAAAGAGAAGTCGAAGTACGAATACTTGATGTCGTCTGTGCGGCACCAGGGGGTGGTGACGGCGCACATGCAGGGGACGGGGCCTGGCATTAACGGGCGGAGTATCCCGAAGGACTGGCAGTGTTTCTCGTGTGGGTCTACCGAGCACATCAAGCGTGATTGCCCGGCCAGGGGTCAGCGTGGGGGCGGTGATGGCGGTCGGCAGCAGCTAGGTGCAGGGCTGCATTGTGCCGCCTGTGGTGGTCCTCACAGAACTGTCGGGTGCGGAAATTTCGTTTCTGCTGCTGTAGAAGAGAGACGTATGATGGTTGAGAGAAGTGGGGCTTGTTTCAAGTGCCTTGGGAGCGGTCACGTTGCTAACACTAACAGGTGTAAGTTTAGAGAACGGAAGTGCATGAAGTGTGGTGGGACCCGGCACAACACAATGTTGTGCATGCAGAGCGTGGCAGGGTTGAGCGCTGCACCGGTGAGCAGTCAAATGGTGTATGTGGACGTACCCAGAGCCGGGCGCGGCTTCGGGGTCGGTGGCGCCGAATTCGGGGCAACAGCATGTGGTGGCGCCGGGCGCGACAGCGGAATGTGGGGTGGCGCCGGGTACGGCGGAGGGCCGCGGAGTGGGACAGGCGCCCGCAATGCTATGAGTGCCGGAGGTGACGCTAGAGCCGGTGGCGGTAGTGGTGCCAGAGGTGGTGTTGGCGCCAGGTGGTGCAGGTGCCGAACCCACGCGAGCGTCATCAAACGTGGCCGGCCTGGGAACGGATCGGAACACGCTACTGCACATGATGTCAGTGCCTGGTAACAAGGGAGGTAGGCGAGTGAGTGTTCTGTGGGATACGGGTCCACGGGGCATTTTTCACTCACGCGTGTGCTAAGCCAACGCATATTCGTAGCACGAGCACACGGTGGAAGTGACTACACTGCGGAATGTGAGAGAAACGCACCAGACGAGACTGTATGAGGTATCGATTCGGGATTTGCAGGGAAGACGCACAAAGTGTATGCTCGGAGTGGGAGAGAATCACTGGAGATATTGCGCCATTGGACGAGGAATTCTAACGGAGAGTATTTCCCCGGGGTCAGCGAGGTCTGCTGAAAAGCTACCGTCGGCCGGTAGGTGCAGTGGATCTTCTCATTGCGAATGAGAAGGCCGGGTGGCAGCCGACTCCAGAACTGTCCGCATGGTAGCAGCCTGATATGATTATGCAGAATGGTTTGGGGGTTGTGCCTAGGGGCAGTCACCCACTGCGCATGAAGGTACTGACCGGCACGGGGATGGGCCGATGTAGAGCGTGCTCGTCACAGTTCATCATGACCGGGATAACGCACCCTGAACTGGAGCCTAGGGATTGTGGGGATGGGGGTCCGGGATCTCGGTGATGACACGGTTGCGTCATGTCACAAGGTGTTAACAGAGCGGGGCGACCCAGAGCCCGGATGCATTCTTCAGGGCGGAGTCGCTGGGCACGGAGATCATGCCGCGCTGCGGGGGTGTAAGTGCGGCCATTGCCCTATGCCGGGGCACAACTTCAGTTTCCGAGAGGAACAAGAAACTTGAAGCTTGATACAAGAAGGCCTGAGGTATGATGAGGAGAAAGGATGTGGATTGCGAGATATCCGTGGGTAATTGATCCGAGGAATCTTCCGGATAATTATGCGCAGGCGTATCCGAGCCTACGGGCATGTGAGCGGAGCTGGCCAAAGATCCGTTATGGAAGGAAACGTACATGGGCCCAAATGGATGATGATGGTAAGAAGAGTGTGGCCCCGGAAGTTGGTCAGGAGGAGCGCTTGACACAGTCATGGGACGGAGCGAGATTCTATATACCTCAATCTGGACAGTCGTCAATGGCTAGAGAGCTGCAACTCGCACCTTCGGTAAGAATTGTCTTGACAGTTCGAGAAGGCTGCTGCGGGGTGGGTCGCTGATGGATGTCTGGCAGAATGGACCGACAAATACCTGAACAATTCTGCTCGGCAATATTGTCCGCTTTCGGGAGGGATTTGGATCAGGCTGACATCAACAGAAGATGGTATAACACATCGGCTTGAGACTGCCGACCACATTGTCATCGGTTCCATAGTGGAGGGTCTGTGATGATAAGGCAGAACCGAGCGTGATGCTATCAAACCGGCGGTCAACTCAATGGGGGGACAAGGCCTGCAAGGCACGATCGCAATCAGAGGCATTGTATGCGAGCGGCGGGAAAGGTGCAGGGAATAGTTATCCGGAGGCCGCAGACATGATACGTGACTCCACGTACATGGACGACCTTGATTGGATTCGTGCTGAGGGGGCCGTCGAGAGGCTAATAAAGTTGGCGACGATGTGTCGACACGTCATGGAACAGGCAATCCGGATTGAATAGCTGGAGGTTACCGGCGGAAACAGAAAGTGGGTGCTGTCGGTGCATTACTTCCGTCCGGTGGCCGACTCGGTGGCGGGTGTTGGGTATTGTTGTGGGACAATGTGGCGGACAGAGTTCACCTACCCGTTGAAGAAATCATATTCTCGAAGAAGAAAAAAGGGCGTGAAGAATGGAAGCCGGACGTCCGGTGCAGGCAATCTAGGGGCGTCGTTGCCGGGCAATGCTCACGCGCCGGGCTCGTGTTGGAGCAGGTCATGGGTATACTTTGATCCCGTACGGTTGTTCTTAGTGCCTTTTCACGATGAAGGCGAAGTGTTCTGCTCCTGCGAGAAGTGGTATTTGGGCGGCTGGTTGGGATGACCCGCTGGCCGGAGGGTGCCTGCGGCAGAAATGGGAAGAATTTTTTTTAGAGTGGGATGTACGGATTGAGGAACGGCCATAAGTCGATGTGTGAAAGCCACGAAGGCGCGGTGGGGGCCGGCGCGATAATGATCACGTTCTCAGATGGCAGTGAGAAGGTAATGGTGCTGGGCTGCGTATGCTGCTGTGGGATTTGAAGGAGGGGGAGCAAAAGCAGCTCACTGGTGTTGGCCAAGGGAGAGTTGCGCCGGTAAAACGGATTATCAGCAACGGCTTTGAGTTGAATGTGCGGTTGTTGCAAAGAGAATGCCGGAAGATTCTTGGTGACTTGAGATGAGGATCGAATGTCGGGAGATCATAGCGCGGTTGATTCGCAGACGGTGTTGGGAATTGCTCAAGCAAAACGTCGCAAAGATTTTCGCCGTACATGGGTAACGAGGTTCGGCGAGATTTCAGGCGGCGTCCATAGGTCGTGAAAATGGACAGTTGATTGAGGTGGTGCATGGATAGAGGGAAAATATGAACATCGCTGATTGATCACCCAGGGAAGGAGGTCCGGATCAAGCTGGCGGGAAGGGCGGGGAGTGGTAAATGGGCCGGAATTTCTGTTCCGAACCGGTGAACACGTGGCTCATATCAAGTCGCTGCTGCGCACGGTGACTTACGCCAAGGAGGCGAAGAAGAGGCTCTCAGCATGATGACGTCGTTGCGGGGAAAACTGGCGGCACCACGGCAAAACGCAACGGTGTACGCGACCGTGATGAGCTGGAAAAGGCGCGACAGTCTAACTGGACAGGCAGTGCAGCTGGACATCAAAGATGAACTAAGAGGCGTCTGTGCAGCCTGTCCCGGCGGCGCTATCCGTCCGTCTTGGCCGGTGTTGGACAGTGGGGTATGTGGGTGGTGGGTTGAGCGAGTGAAGCATCACGTTGAGTTCACATCGTCCAAAAAACTAGCCGCCCCATTACTGCCAAGTCGACACAGATTCTGCGTGCTGGCATGGAGGAGGCACATGGCGCTGGACACGGCGGCGTCACCACCCACCACTGGCGAAGTTCCGGCGACCGCTATTGGATAAGCAGGGAGGAAAAAGTTGGCAGAAGAAGTGCCGGCGGAACGGTGGTGGCGTCGTCTGCAGGAGAACAGACAAGCGGCCGTGAGGCAGGTGATGGGCCCACTACCGCGAGGGGTTACTAAAGGCCGGCGCCAGTGTGGCTCAATGGGTCTGGACTATTCGGACCGTTCCGCATATCGGCGGGGAAGCAGTGAATAACGCATCAACTGGTAAGGCCTATGGGTTATTTTGTTTGTGTGCTTGCTCTCTAAGGCCGGCATCTTGGCAGCTGAACTTCGACCGGATACTCAACGTCAAGTTTTTTGAGGCTGAGGAGGTTTTGCTGCAGTGAGAGGGTGCCGCAGGTGATATACAGTGACGGTGGGCACAACAACTGACTAGTGGGCGGGCTGCAGTAAATCGAGCAAAGTGTGGGAGAAAGCTAGTACGCCGGTCGAGGTTGGAGGAGATTGGGGCA